GGGGAAGACATTGGATCATGAAAAGACTTGGGGTGTGTGCATGCAGACTATGGACCTAATTTTGCCATCTTTGTTCTGTGAAATAACCAGCTTTACTTGAAAGCTAATAAAAAAGACACTTCCTTTTTTTATCTCACGTGAGTTCAAAACTAATGGTCTAACATGCAATATTAAAGTATTTTTTTGTAATTTTATGATCTTCCATGAACATCTAGGATATAGATTAAAAGGGTATATGCCATTTCATGCCTTTTTAGTTGACCTTTTCCCCCCAATTAGACTTTTTACCTTTGGTAGATCTCTCTAAAGGTCACAGATGGAAAAAGCAAGTATTCCTCATTGAATTATAATGTTTCTCTCTTCAAGGTGTTTGCACTAGATAAGAGGTAATATTGCCGGTTGAAGTAATAAAGTATTAGAGTTATTGAAGGGGGTACTGAGAGAACACTGTGGCCACTTGTATCTGTAGATATAGGAAATTTCAATATAAAAGTAATGCAGCACTGTCATCGAGGAATGATCTACCATGGAATATGATTGTGGCTTCCTTCCTTTTTTAAAAGTAGGCTATATAGACTTAGGTGTCCCAGTCTGGTTTAAATGAATTAATAAAATGGTTCGAATATTATATGTTGCTCTCTGATTAAATATCAAATTTAAATGTTTAATACAGGCTTCCTCAAACTGCGGCCCTGCAGTTGTTTGGGCTTCCAGCTCCCAGAAGGCCTAACTAGCTTGTTCAGTTGTCAGGAATTCTGGGAGTTGAAGGCCCAAACAGCTGGAGGGCCGCAGTTTGAGGATGCCTGGTTAAATACTTTATCTTGTAAACTATCTTCATGTGGTTTTGCTTTGAAAAGCAGTATATGTACTTTTTTAGAAAAAGAAAAAACTAGACTGCTTTTATATTTTTAGCTTTGTTTTATTCTCCACTGTCCTGATTTACAAAATTTACAATTTATTTATTTTATTTATTTCACATATTTGTATCCCATCCTTCTCAACCCCAAGGGGGGACTCAGGGTGGTTTACAACAGGCAACCATTTGATGCCATCAAACAGATTCATAAATAACAATTGCAATTAAAACAGTAATTAAAACATTAAATTATTAAAACATTTATTTAAAATTATGCAAATTCAAATCATAGTCCAGATCAAACCAATTGTCAGTAACATAGGGTCTGTATCAATCTCAGTTGTTGCATATATTGTTCAAATGCTTGGCCTCACAACCATGTTTTAAGTTGTTTTCTAAAGGATAGGAGGGGTTGTAGAGATGGTAAATTATAGAGAGAATGAGCTGATCTTCACAAAGTGAAATAGGTAAAGCAGGAACCATAATGGCAAATGATTGAATTAATTTCAGTGAGGCAACAAACTGAATAGTTTAATTTCTCATCACAGTGTCTTTTCTATCAGTTACTAGAGGAACATCTGCATAGACCATTTGATGCAATTTCAAACCAGTATTGAAGAAAATTCTTTTGTCTGTGCAGATAATTACCGGTGCATAGGAAATTCTGGAATAAGTTAGAGTCCCGGATGGTGGTTGCACAAATCATTAAGGGCTTTCTTTCATCTACTTTAGGGGGTGTTGTTGTCTGCTGCAGTTCGAAGTTAGCTTTGGACTGCATTAAATGATCAATGTAGATGAGGTTTAGGTTGCTAAAAGAGCAAGTATTGTAATTTATTGTGTCTCTTTTTATGTATACAATATAGGAGTAGTATTTTGACTTTCAGCTTGAAAAAATCTGCTTGCAGAAAGAGTCATTTCCCAGGAGTTTTATGTGGTTTCCGGGCTTTATGACCCTGTTCTAGCAGCATTTTCTCCTGACATTTTGTCTACATCTGTGACTGGCATCTTGAGGCATCTGAAGCCTATGAACTTTGAATTTATGGAGATACCTGGAATAGGCTAGGACTATGAATACTGTACTTTATAGTTAATCTTTGAAGTATGTAATGGAATTACAAAATTGTCAGCACATGTAATTTTAGATAAGAGCACTCAAATGTAGATAACTATGAGCTGTGGAATTTACAGTAATAAATTATGAAAATGTAATATTTTATTCCATGTTGAAGTGGAAAGAAATTGATCTGTTCATTTGGTCAAGAGGTATTTTGCCATGATTATATCTATATGCAGAACACTGTGTTTTGATTTAATTTTCTTGTATGTATGGGATTATGGGTAGAGCCATCTGGTTGCTAGGACAACTGGGAATATTCATTCAAAAGCAGCTTGGAGTGGGTGGGAAACCAGTAGAACATGTCAGTTGCAATTGGCTTATTGGGGACAAAACAAGAGTCTTGGTAATGGTGCTGCAGATCTATGCTGATGCAGTATTTAAGAACAGATTACCATTAAAATGATAAATAGCTTAGTTAGAGAGGATTCAAGACAATTTTCGAAGAAGTCTTTTTGATATCTCTTCCGAGAAATATTGGTAGTTATACTGTATATACTTGTATATATGTAGTACAAGTTGAGGGAAGATTTTGGGGCCACAGTTATGGGTTTTAATAAGACTTGTGGATAGGTTATGGGTAAACTTTGGGGCTCAACACAGGGCTATCATGGAGGGCCGAAAGCATCAGCATCGTCTCGGGGCAAGCTGCTCATGGCCCCCTTTGCCATTTTTATGCTCAGGCATTCAAACAAGCTTTATGTCATTCTGACGCCCTCTACTTTCTCTGGCAGCTTTTTGCAATATTTGGGTGGAAAAATAGTGTTGCTTTCCTGCTACGGGAGAGATTAACTAAGAACCACCCGAGAGAAATAGCAGAGGAGGTGGTTGCTTCTTTCAGACTCTTCTGGCACAGATTATGCTATTGGATTCTCAGAAGAAACAAATACACAAGGCAAAGTGGTAGCCAGAAACAATCTACTAAAGGACAGACTAAAAACAGAAAAAGAAAGAACACCATTAGCTATTCCTCTTTGCCTCTATATAAATCATAGAATCATGAATCATAGAGTTGGATGAGATCTTGTGGACCATCCAGTCAACCCCCTGCCAAGAAGCAGGAAAATTGCATTCAAAGCACCCCTGCTCAACAGATTAGACTGATCAAAGGTCTCATCTGTAGAGCTCCAACAGCTAGATCAGCTGTCTGAATTTAAGACACAAGTGAAGTTCTATCTCTTCTGGCAGGACTACCCAGGTAGTTTTAATGACACATTTTAAATTTCAACTCTTTGTCTAACTTTTGTGTGTTTTAATATGTATTTTATGGAAATATGTTTTAATCTGTGTATTATTATTATTATTATTATTATTATTATTATTATTATTATTACCAGTTCTAGAGACTAGCTTAGCCCTCTTACAGGCTGTGGGCGGCATGCCTTAGCTGGCCTACAGGAAGTCTTCCAGACTTAAACAATTACTTATTTACCACAGGATACATACCACATGGATGGCTACAGTTATAAGTCTCTACCACAATCCCAGATGCCAACTTTGTCTCTACATGTACTCTAACAGCAACTTTACAGATGCTAATAATACCACCTGTGACATCAGAGATGTATTTAATTGTTCACCTTTCAATGTAAAATACAGTGTCTAAGTTAGCAACGCCCTTCTTCATCCTGTGTAGTACAAACATGATAGGCTCTATGCAAGAAGATAAATGACGCCTGTTTGGTATTAAAAATGACAATACTAAAAAGTAAATTCCAAAACATTTTAACTTTCTGGGGCATACAAATTGGATTAATAGTTGTTGTTTTTTTAAAGAAAAAAGGAAACTAAAAAGAGAACCAGCTCAGTTGAAATACATTCATTAGTTACAATACATTATCAGAAATATGAATAGAGATAATAGTTTCTTGGCACACTACATGTATTAATACTGAAATCCTCAGGTTTTGACTCCAGTGCGACTGGCATTTGGGAAGTAGATTTATTGTTTTCACATGTCAGTACAAACAGGTTACTTAAAAATGCTACTTGAAAGATCTGTATCATCCCACACAACTCTTTGAAGATTTATGACCAGGGTCACAATCTACATCTTTTTGTATCTTGTTATATTTTATCCCATTCCCTTACCTAATTCTATAGTTTTAATTGCATTCTGTCAGTGAGTCCAAAGAAGTAGATTGGGATTAATAAAAGCTCAGAATAAATCAACTAGTGATAAAGTTGCTACTATATTCCTCTCTCTTTGCTTCCCTTCTCCTTTTATGCTTGGACAAGTCTCTGAGGATTGTTAGTCTCGGGAAAGGAACTGCCAATGGAAGGAGGGATCTGTTCTTGGTTGTCTTCCCACCATCCCTGGAGGAAAGACAGGGGCAAGAGAGAACTCAGGCCAGGGCTGCTAGGGATCGCCAGCCACATGACAGGAGCCAAAGTAAAGGCAGGCTGGGCCTGTGCATAAGCAGTTTATATTCAGCATTAGACAGTTTTTTCTCTCCTACTACCTAACACATTTCTATTTTTTATTGTTTGCCTCTTTTGTAACTCTCCTGGCACTAAGCATCCGTACATATGTGTCAGTGGTGTCACTAGTTTTGGTATTATCCCATTGCAGTAACTCACCATATCATTCCCCAAAGCAGCCAGCCACCCTGCAGTTCCTATGAATAGGAATAAATAACTTTATTTCTTGACTTATACATGAGTATGTACTGGGTCCTAACTCTAGGAGAAAGGTGGGATATAAATTAATTAATTAAATAAAACACATACAGGTAGTTTTGATTGCTAATTATTTTTATGCTACTATCACAGTCACCATTCCAAGTCAGAAGACGTAATAAATATAAATAACCAAGATTAACATTTCATTAGGGCATTTTGTTTTGTTTCACGAGAGAGATGAGGATTCCAGTATTGTGTACTAAAGGACTAGAACTGGCATGCATGCTGAATAAATGATTAATTTGGGACACTAATTGGAATCAGTCATTTAATTTTTGAGAAAAAGCAAATTAAATGAATGGACTAATTAAAGGTCTTGCTCAGTCATATTTTTGTTACATGCTCTAGGCTTCTGCTGATCTTGAATTACAAGGAAAAGAAGACCCAGGTGGCTATTCATGCAGAAAGGTAGTTTCCAACTGGCATCGTTATGAAGATACTGAGAAGGAAACACAAAATGACAGTAGTGAATCTCAGCGTGGGACAGACTACAGTGTTCTGCTTAGCTCAGCAGGTAAGAGAGCGAAAGCACAAACAACTGTTAATTTTGTATGGTTTGTATTTGTCTCATAATAATGACATTTGTAAGCTCACTGATGAGAATGAAACAGACCTTAAAATTACTTTTATACAAAATTAGTTAAAAGCTCATAAAGAAATGCTTAATGGCTATTGGTGGTATCTTTAGGAAGAAAAGCAAGAATATAGTTGGTTGACCTGTATTAAGTCATTTCATTGATTGATTGTGGACAACGTTGGGCGTTCTTGCATATTTTAGCCAAGAGTCATTCTTGGCCCTATTTTGGGGTAATGAAGAACCAGAAACATTTTGCATGGAAAAATATATATTCCACCCCTGAACTACAGCAGGGATGGGGGTATGTATGGAAGACTGAGCATGTATGAGTGGTCACCTTCCTACTGTTGGTTTTTTTTTGTTACTTTTGGTTGTTTGGGGAGAAATTTTGGCTATTTCAGAGTGGCGGTGTTTCAGTGGGTCTATTCTGATTTGAACTACCAAATGGATTTAATAGATTGAAATATAAGAGATATCCTGTCTATCTATTTACAATGTGAAATAGTTTGTCTTCTCCTGTCCTCTATGGGGATGGAAGAGGAAAGCAAACAATGGAGGAACAGTTCCCATAGATATGGCCAGATTAGTCTCCCTGCCATATAATTTTTCCTGGGGGAAGGGAGGGATAGTTTCAGGTGGTTTTAGAGACCAGGGGGTGCTTGTCTTGTAGACCTGCAGTCTCAGAAATTTAAACAAGAGTATTCAGAAGGTGTTAGGCTTGCTTGGTTCAGCTGCCCCTTCTCTGATCAACAGATGGGATGCTCTTCTTGGGCAGCAGGAGATGCAGCACTCAGCATGTCTCTTTTTTCACAGTTTTTCACAGATAACGTGTGTTTGGATATTGCTCTTGTTTTTTGAACTCTGATTCACCCTTCATTTTTTCAGGAAACAGCAATCTTGCATAAAAATCTTGCGTCAACACTAGCAATCTTCTACCACAAAAATCTTATACAAAAAAAATCAGTCTGGTCCAAAAATAATTCCATGTTGTGTTTTCTGTGCAAGATTTCTGTGGCACACTATTTTTGTTGTTCAAGATTGCTGTCTTTGCATAGTGGTGGTTGTGTAGTCTCAAGTCATTTCTGACTTAGTGTGACCCTGCAGTAAACCTGTCACAGGGCTTGCAAGGCTGAGAGGATGTGACTTGCCCATGGTCACTTAGTGAGTTTCCATGGCTTAATATGGATTAGAACCCAAGGCTCCAGAGTCATAGTCCAATGCTCAAATCACTAAAACCACATTGGTTCTCTTGTTTTTGCATAGAAAACAACAGATTCAAAGAACATGTGTGGCTGTTTGCAAACATTATTGTTTTGTGTATGCTCTCACAACTCTCTCACATCAAAGCCATTTGAATCCTTGCCCATAATATTTTCCTGCAACAATACAGATTCTTCTCCATGGTCTCTGTAGTTAACACAAGTGTGCAGTTCCTGTGGTAGTTAAAATGGAATTGAGGGAAGAAGAAAGGTACAAACCGCATTATGAATGCATGGCCAAGGTAGAAGACTCTAGTGCATTTTAAATATCTGTGTGCTTTTTGTGTTCACACTTGAAGAATCAGTTAAAGGTAAGCAGTCTACTCATGTGTGCATATTCAGTGAGAACAGTACAGAAAGATTTGTTTTATTACAGCAGGGAAAATGTATGCAAATTATTTATTCTCACTTGTGAGAATGAAATATTCAAATATTATCATCCCTACTGAGGACTATATGACACCTGCTGAGAAATCATATGACATAGCCTTTATGACATGTCCTTTATGCAACTGTTGTTTCTGTTTATTTCTCCCTACTTATGGTTTTAATTATGTAGTCTTCGGAGGTCAGTTTTGTATGTTCTTGTTGTTTTGTTGGTAGGTCAACAATTCTTAAGTGTATGGTGGCTAGATTTTCACCAAGAGTGTAAGTAAGTTAAAATACAAAAAGCAGCAGAAAAGGAAAATGGCAGAAATGGCCAACATTTTTGACAACTAGTATATCTTTAGTGTTTAATTGCATCTTTATGGGATCCAGAACAAATTTGTGAGAAATATTTCTTACAATATATATCTTGTATCCTGTATGAATCCAACTATTTTCTTCTTGGAAGCAAAGAGGCATCAATACATGAGAAGGTTAGAGGGAGCCTTCGAGAGGAGGCCTGTTTCTTTGTTTCACCTTCTTGGTTCTTTCTGTGACCTATGTAGCCTTTTTGCTTTCTTTCTGCCTGCAGAGGTCACTTTCCTCTTCTCTCAAAGTCAGTTAGTCTTTTGACTCTCTTTCTCTGGGAAGGGAGCATACATGAGACTCCTGCTTTTGAATGGCTTACATCTACTCATGTGAGTTAACCTTTAGGGGATCTTCTACTAAAATCTAAATAATCTTTTGTCTGCTCTTTTCCTTGTCCCAAGAGGAAATTTGTGAAACAATAAATGTAACTTTTTCTTTTTTACTTTACAAAATGATTCGGAGTATTTTCTCCTGTTTTCTACCACAAGCTCAAATTGTACTGTCTGAGCTCATATGCCATCTTTCATTACATAATAGTTGCCACTGTGTAATAGTCACACACCCCATTTTTGAGGTGGCAAAATTGGTATTTTTGTGTTCCTTGCATATTAGTTGTGCCCTTTATTCACTTGCCCACACACCTGCCTCTTTGGAGTTACGGGGCTTCGCTTGGCTACCAGCTGAGTAAAGCCCCATATCTGGAAAGGCAGCAGGAAAGCAGGCAAGTGAGGCTTTATTCCTGTGTGCCTTTCCCCCTTCCAGCTCCTGGGCTTCATTCAGACCCATAGCTTGATTTTTTTCCCCACTGCATGATAGTCTCTAAAAAGGGGATAAAAATGCAGCTGTTACACGGTGAAATATGTTAAATAATAAATATTCCTACAATTATTTCACATATACTATAATGCTCAATAGCCATCCAAGGTAATATTTTAAACAATGCCGTGGGGGATCTCACTCACTTTTAGTTTTAACAACTCAAGGGGGCAGAAGCTGGAACATTTTGTTTCTTCCTTTTAAAATTTCTATTTATTAATCACTCTAAGCTGTGTGTATATGTCTGTGAGTTAAGAAACTAGACTCTTTTCAATAATTAGAAAAATGATAATGTTTTGATATATTTCATTTAAATGACTGGGTGTATTTGATGATTCAGTGGTTCTGTTTCACATCATCTCAATGTGAGGTCTTGTTTACAGCATGCTTAATCAGTTTTAGTTAGCATCATTCTGTTAGCATGGTGATCATGTGTGGAAAAAAGGCAAGTTAAATTTCTAAACTTCTCTTTAATTTCTTATACCTTAACCTTTCTCTTTTAAAGGAAAATGTAATTTTAATATCCACTACAGAGTGAATGCTATCACTGGAATGAGAAACTTATGACAGATATGTCCTTTGAAATAGTTTCACAAGTGGAATATTCAGTGTCTCCCAGTTTTCTTTGATGGTACAACTGTATACTTCTGTGAGGCATAAGCCTATGCTGAAGGTAGCATTGTTTATGATAAGGTCTCTAAAGTTACACATGCTTTTACTGATCAACCAGACTGTGATTGCAATTCAGCATTCGCACAGTGAAGGCCATGCATACCTCTGGCGTGCAGAATTATGTATTCTCCCCCAACTTAGTAAAAAGCTACTAAAGCTACCTGACATTACTATGCTTTGTTGTTTGGTAAACAAATAGTAACACAGAAACATCTTGCTACATCTTCATAGCCAGATGTGAAATTACTTCACACAATGTAACTACAGTAACAAAGCATTTAATTATACACAGACATACACATATCTATTATCTATCTATCCATACATACATACATACATACATAAAGTCCCAAAGTTACAAACATGATAGGTTCTTTAGGTTTGTTCTTAAGTTGAATTTGTTTGTAAGTTGGAACATGCACATTTCTGAAGTGTAACTCCCGCTATATCTCTGTCTGTCTGTCTGTCTGTCTGTCTGTCTGTCTGTCTGTCTATCTATCTATCTATCTATCTATCTATCTATCTATCTATGCAAGCTTTGGAAGCTGTGCCCTGGTTGAGAAGATTTCACCTTACTTTCTGTCCCTGTGAAAATTGGATTTTGAAAAAAAAAAAAAAGTCTGGTTGTGGAAACAAGGATTGGTGAAAAGGTTTCAGTGAGATCCCTTTCCCCCATGATAACTATTTCAGGAGTAAATTTCCCTTCCTTGTGTAGATTTCTCTCACTTCCTGTTATCTTACCCCCGTTTGTAACTATGAGTTATTTGTGAGTTGGATGTTTGTAACTTGGGGACTACCTGTGTATAACTTAATACACTCTTGTATAAGTCTAGAAATTGTAGTAAAAAAATAAACCCAAAAAGCCTGTGCCAACTTATCCACAGCTCAACCTGAGTATTGTATCTTGACTGTAATCATTTCTGGTCTTTTGGAAATGCTGAATGGGAAAATGGTGATGGCCAGGGGTGGGTGGCCCCTTTAGGCTGCATAGGCGTTCTCCCCTTTGTAGAATCACCCTTGAATTCTTCATAGGTCATATCCAAATCCATAATTTTGGTCCAAAAAACCTGCCTTTGACTTATACAGGAGGTCAATTTATGCATGAGTATATATGGTAAATTCACACAAATCTTATTAAGCAATAGAGTTCTTTCTGTAAAATAAAGATTGACATGGAACCTTGATTATTGGTTTTTTTCTTTACGACTATAAAATTATTTATTCTAGTTCACCAAATAATGCAGTACAGTCATACCCAGTTAACAAACCCTCTGACAAAGATGTGTTCTCCTCCAAATGGTTTTTATAAAGTGGGGATTGATTTGCCCAACCTCCCCCCCCCTTTTGTTATTATAACGTGAGTGCCAGGTTACTGATGGAAAAGGATTAGAGAAACACAGATATTTGGAATTGAGTTGAAGCAGCATATCTGTAGTAAACAATTCAATAAAGCTT